GACGGAGATTAGGATTATTACTTATATACTCCGTACTAGTTATTGCTGATACAGGGTCTGGATGTTCTTCGGTAGGACTATTTTGTCGGCCAACAAAATGAAGGCTACATATATAACTATCCTTCGTACATACAAATTTATCGCCTCTACGTATCCATGCAGCGCGGCTCTCGTTTTGCGCTATGGTATGATTGGTATCTAGCCCCAGGAAAATGTAAAAAAAAATATCAGCTCCATTACTGTTTCGTTTTAATCGTTATATATGTAGCCTTCATTTTGTTGGCCGACAAGATGGTCCTACTGAAAAACATCAAGACCCTGTGTCAGCAATAACTAGTACGAAAAATATAAGTAATAATCCTAATCTCCGTCTAGGATATATAAAACGCACATTAAAATTAAATGCGTACGATATGTAAAATATATTTATAAGCTGCTAGACTTTGCTTGTCATATTCTGACGAGTGATATATGAGATGATTAAATATATCAAACAACCCAAAGGGGCGAGAATGCGTAAAATCGTTTAAAACATTCATTTTAAAAGGATCAGGCAGCTGAATATCGTGAACTCTCAAACGACGACTTAGATTAAACTGGTCTTGGGCTTCACTGACTTGAAAAAGCAATGAAAGACTAATTTCTTCGACGGCACAAGCAATAGCTACAAGTCCTGGTATGAGGTAACTGTTAACAGTAATTCCTCGATTTTGTAAGTATGCTTTGAGCTCCGGCAGCTTCATGGCTTTAAATTTCTCTTCTCGTGATATATTTCCATTTTGACTATTGTTTCGTGACGAAAGCGAGCAAATTTATCTATTAAATGGCCGAAACATTTGTGTATTTTGAATAGCATTTATATTACGCTCCGCCATGTTTGTCCGAGTTTCCGATTTCTCGAGCACGTGTTTCCAATTAACACAAAACCGCCAAAGTGGTCCATTAAGGTTGTCCATTAGCAATTCCCAGTAGCCTTTCGCGCTCGTATTCGACTTTTCCGCTTTGCTCGGGGGACAACCTTTAGTTAATTGAAATAGCTGTGTGCATCAAGCATTCAAATGCCTCCCAGGATACCAGAAGCTTTGAGGGGAGCCTCATTTTCTCCCCGCAATGGCCATCACTCATTTGGCTTGTTGACGGTACCACCAATAATGATAAATGGGAACATACTGGGCTTGGTCAATTTAACTCCACTTCTTTAGCATTATCATCAGCCTCTAAAAACATAATTTACAATTTGCTTCCCTGGAAAGGAACTTTGATAACCCAGTTACCCAAAGAAAGCTTTGACGGGAACCTTTAGCTTTCTTTACCTTAAATTATTGACACAGAAATTGAGCAAATTTTCCATGAAATTGAGCAAATGTATTTAAAGGCCCATTTCCACTTTCCATTAATAAAACGACGTTTTCGGAAAATTTTCTGTGCGTGGAAATCTTTCTTTAGTGGAAATAGGTCTTTATATACAACCATACCATGCTACTCAAGCATACTTAATCATATGCATATATATGCACCAGTTATGTAACAATAATAAATACATATATATATATATATAGGCTATTCTCTCAAAGTTCTCCAAATTCCGAAGGATGTGATTTTTATCCACCTGCTGAATTCATTATATTTAAATTAAAACATAGTCATAAATTGATTCAGTAACTAGCGCGTCAATATTTTACAGGAATCATCATGCATTCTTGGCGTCTACGACAATGTCTTAAATGGATCACTATAACCATACTAATGGCCATCATTGCAAAGTTTGACGCCAATCAATGTGTCAAAAGAGTTTATGAGCCCATTGGCGAAGGTCAGTCTTGCATTTTGTTTCGCTCTTGCGGGTCTTTTGGTTATCTAGTAGGTGCGCCAACATATTAAATTTCTGAATATTTTCTTTTCTTTTAATATGGACAATGGTGTTTTACTGGAAACTAAAACACTCGTAGAACTCGTATGCCATTACATCCGGAAACAGATGCGCGTACTTTCCGTATTTCACGCGCTTGCTACTGTATAGTGACATACAAAATTCAAAATTTTCCTTCCATTTTCATTGTTGTTGTTTTGAAAATATAAATGGTCTTTGGTTCGTATATAAGCGAAATTAACATTGCAAAAAAACCAAAACATTTAAAAGACATCTTGAAATAGGTAAAATGTATTCTATAGTTTTATGTTTGCACTATATAATTTAAAAAATATCGCTTTTATACTGGTTTCGCAGCTTATTTACATGTCGTCTTTGCGAGTATATTTGTCACTCTGAATAAGTCCATATAATAAACAGAACATTAAACGGTTGCGAAAAGATATGGATTTATATGTTCTCCTGTTTTTGCCAATTGAACATAAATCCGCATATCTCCTCGCAACCGTCTAAAGGCCTAACCCCACAGTAGGTAACCCCCCCCCCCCCCCCCCCCC